GAGGGGGGCGCTCAAGGTGGCGCCGTTGGCCGACAGCGATCCGGAAAGGGTTGCTGAACCGGCGTAGATGTTTTTCCAGGCGTTCGAGGATGCTCCGACGTCGTAGGCGCCGTTGCTGCCGGGCAGGACGTCGGCAGAGACGCTCGTGGTGGAGCCGGCGCTCAGGGTCAGGTTGCTACCGACCACTAGGGAAGTGGCGTCTGTCGTCGTTGAGTATATCGCGGAGGCCCTCGCGGAAGAGGACGCTACGGGCCCGGTGAGGGAGAGGGAATTGCTGCCGATCGAGATGCTGCCAGAAGTGATGGCACCCGAGAGACGGGCGTTGCTGCCGTAGAAGTTGCCCCAGCGATCGTTCGAGCTTCCTACATCCACGCTGGAGCTGTCCGGCAGGAGAGAGGAGCCGAACTTGAGGGTGGCCTTGGAGTGGACGCCGTCGTCGGAGGAGAGGAGGAGAGAGCCGGTAGGTCCGGCCGATATCGTGGCATTGGAGCCGTTCGACGAGCGGATGGCGAGAGCCCCTCCCTTCGTCAGCCAGTAATCTCCGTTGCTGCCGATATTCCAGGTGAAGGATACTGCGTCGTTCGATGTCGGAAAGTCCGACCCGCACACGAACAGACCAGCACCGTCGGCGAGGGCGTCGGTAGGGTTGGAGGTCTTGGCGAGGATGACGTTCTTGTCGGCGATCGAGAGCGCGGTGCTGTCGATGTAATCGAGGCTGCCTACCACGTTGAGGTTGCCACGAACCACCAAGCCGCCGGAAAATTCGCCGGTGCTCGCCGTCAGGTTAGAAGTTGAGATCTGATCGGAAGCTACGAGCGACGCGGCCGACACGGTGCCACTGCCGGCGTCGATGTCGTGGTCGGAGGTATCGATTGCGGCCGACCGGATGGATCCGACGGTCAGGGAGTTGCTTCCGGCGTCGATCGGAGTCGCGAAGGAGCCGACCACGAAAGAACCTGATACGATCTTGGTTGCCGCTAGATCCGGCACGAGGTTGGAGTCCAGGAGGCCGTACC